ACGACGCCGTGGGCGACGCCAGCACCAGAATGGAGAAGATGGTGACGGAGAAACTGGAAGGCATCATGAACACCTTGTCCCGGTTAGTGCCCGGGACACCGCCCGCCGGAAGTGCGACCGCAGCGGGCGGCGGGGGGGAGTCACAGGGGAGGACGCACGCCTTCCCTGGCGCGGGTCAGCTAGACCAAGCGCCGAATACTGGACGAGGGCTCGAGGGAGCGAGAGGACTGCGAGGCCCGGAAACACGAGAGCCTACACCACCACACGGTGCTATCTCGCGAGAGGGAATCAGCAGCAAGCTTCACGGTATGCTTTCAGCTCGCATGCCCGTATCCCACGCCTGAAACAGTTGGACTTCAACGGAGACGAGAAAAACTGGCTGATGTTCCGAAACGATTTCATTACGCAGGTTCAGACTTGTGGGATGGGTCGCGCCTTGAGCGACAGCAGAGACATTGAGGTCCTAGGCGTAGACGATGATGGCATGATAGAGCAAGGAGTGGAAGTAGGGGAGATAGCCATGTACCGGGATTTGTGGGGGATGCTGACCGGAGCGATATCCAACAACTCCACAAAAATGCTGGTGTACGATCGAAAGGGGCCCTCGGCAGCGTGGCGTGCGTTAGAAGAAACATTCACCCCCTTGACCGGCGGCGAGCAGATCTCGCTGATCGGAAAGTTTTATAATGCCCAACAAGGGAAGAACCAGGAACCCCGAGTGTTTTTCCAGGAGTTCAAGTCCGTAGTGACTAACCTAGAGTTGGCATTCGACCAGCCCATCCCAAAAATGCTCGTGTATGCACGGTTCCTCGATGCGCTTTCCCCGGAATTCGAGATTCAAAAGCAACAGCTGCTCGCCCAGAAAACACTCGATGAAGAAGAGATTTTGAGAGTGCTTCGCACACGGGCTGGGCAACTGAAAGCGGAGGAAAAGAAGGGGAAGAGTGATCGGCGAGCGAACCATCATGCGTTCGTAGCAGTAGAGGGGAAGGGGGGAGGAAAGAGACGTCCGAAACAAAACCGAGGTTACGAAGAGGCGAATATAGCTAGCGATAAGAGAGTCAAGTGCTACGTCTGTGATGGTGACCACTATGCGAGTGCATGCCCAGAGAAGCTTTGCCAGAGGTGCGGAAAAAAGGGGCACAACGCGAAAAACTGCCCATCGAGAACTGAAACTGCAGTCGCCGCGATTGAAGTTGGAGTCGGTGGTGTTGAGTTGGACGTCGCATACGAAGCACTCTGATGTTGTCTAGATCTGTTTTCCCAGCGGTGCATCAACGCCCGTTCGCTTTCGTGCCTTGCGTGCAATTCGGCTCGTCGGCATTTCCCCATCAAGAGCCGATTTTGATGATACGACTGACGAAAGTACAAAGGGGAATTTTTTCTGGCCTGTTACTTTTCCGCCGTTCGCTCGTTGTTTTTTTTTCTTGTGTGTTCGATCGGGATACGAACGCAGTCCACGAAACTCGATGTTGCCTGTCCGGTATACCATGCGCATCTCAGTAACTAACCGCGTAGGTTGAGCCATGATGAGGCTTATTGCACGATGAAATACTGAGGATGGTGTGGCATTCCGTTGTCGTCTCACTTTGAGGAATGGTGATCCGCAGGGCACTGCGGTCACACCAATTTGATTGATGATGTTCGGAATTATTTTGCCTGAAATCAGGGAGGGCTGATGAATGACGCCTTTTTCCGTGATAGATGGCTACCAGCGTCTCTCATATTAGCAGGTACCGGCAGGCTGGTTGATGAACTGTTTGTGATTGATATGCTGCTTCGATCGTCCTCTGATGTGTAGGCTGAGAGGGGGCACCCTCCCCTAACATGTGGTTGATTGCCCTTTTATATGATCTTTCATTGATGTACAGACCGAGGGGGGCACCCCTCACTGTCATGTGATCGACAATGGTGATCGGGGTTGGTTGCAGACGCGCCCCGTTGCTAACAGCAGCTGGATACAGCAGTAGGGATCCTGTTGCTGGGAGGGAGTTACTTGTGAAGGAGTAGCAAAAAATGTCTAGGTCCAGTGTCTCTCGAAGCGGGGTACCGTTGTGGTTGAGATACTGCTTGATCTTCCTCTTGGTTGATCGCCCTCTATAAAAATGTCATTTAGCGATGTAGCGTTAGGTTTTACGTTTTTCCGCTGCAATTTGGCATTGGTGCTTGTGGCCTTAGGCGCGCCGCGGTGCTGACAGCAACTCGATACAGTAGGGATCCTGTTGGCTGGGAGGGGACTACTTGAAAAGGGGTAGTACAAATGCCTGACAGTTGTAGACGTGTAGGTTTGCAACTTTGTGACTGATGTGTTGATTGTGTTGACAGTTCAATCAGCAGGATGACCCGTGGGGGCGGAGGGTTTTGATCCGGTGGCCGGGTTTCCCTTCGTTTGTTTTATTTTTGTTTCTTTTTGGAGTTTTCTATGAGTACCCTGAGCGCTTTGGTTTTGAGAGCATTCGTTATGATGTACAGAATCAGGGAGGGTGTTCGTGAGGTGGATTATGTCATCCTTACGAAGGCTACTGCGGTAGTACTCATGTGTGGTTTTGAGCTATGCAGGTGCGCAAGTGCGTGACCGTCCATCGGTCATTTGGATCTTCGGGGTATCTCCGGTAGTAGGATCTTTGGCAAGTTGTCGCGCATTCCTTGCTGTCATGTATTCCGAGTTCCGAATGCGTCTTGCGACTGTTGCTCGCGTGCCTCGGTGTTTGTGATGCACCTGGGTGCCCACTCTCTTCCGTTGCTTGTGTCTACGAGGACGACCAATAAAACGACTTTACCATCTCTTCACATTGTCAAACGGGACAGCCGTGCTCATCCAGCAGCACTCGGCTTGGGGCCAATCAACAAAGACCACTTGGAGATATACGGGAAGTTGAAAGAAGGGATAGGGATGAAGAAGTACTTGGACGGCCCCATGGACTATGCGAAAAAGCTGAAATTGCAATTTCGAGTAGGCGATCTGGACTTGCCAGAACGGAGGAAGAGGTATACCAGCCGTAGGAGAGAGGAAGAGGAGGATAGACACACATGTCCATGTGGCAAATCGGAGGAGAGTAGACCCCACATAGTTGGGGAGTGTGAGTTGTACAGGAAGGAAAGAGAGGATCTCGAGGAGGAAATGAGACAGAGAGGGTGTGACATGGACAAGTTTGGTAAGTTAGACAACAGCGAAAAAACGATCGCGATAATTGGGGATAGATGGTGGGCACAAGAGGCCCTAGAGGACGGGGATAAGATGTGCAAGAAATTTTTATGGAGTTTGTGGCAGAAACGTAAAGAGCTCCCAAATGTTGGTGGTGTTTTTAGTAGGGGTAGGAACGGTGCTCCGTCTCGAAAGGGACGGGTGGTCAATGGTCAAATGATTACGGCAAGCAACAAATGAGTACGCCCCCCCCCCCCCGCCGGGGCCCTTGTACACATCTACAAAATCTTTAATCATCAGGTGTTGGTTAGTGAGTACAACACACGAAAAAACCAACTAACTGTTGCAGCATACACTACTGTAGGGGCAGCCTGTGTGACTTTCCGCCATCATGAAGAGTCCATATGCACAACAGAGACCGCATCACCGAGCTACACACAGCAGCTAGCAGCTGCCAGCAGCAGCAGCTGAATATTACTTCTAAATTTATATCCACACACCCAGCGAGTGTGCTACTACACTCACTATACATTGTACGCGTGCACACTCCTAGAATCTGCTGTACCTATACATGGTACGAGTTTTACTGATGTTGTAGCATGTGTGTACTGCAGTACCTCCTGTCGATCCTGCTTGGACCGGTACGCCTTATTCGACATCTCGACGCATAGAACAATGGCCTCTGCATCCAATCCATCCGTACTCAGTTTTACTCCGAGCACCTGCTACGGTTCGGGATATATATATATTCATTGTTCCGCAAGTACGCCCCTTCAGAGGTATTGGCCGCATTTTGCGAAGCCTCTGCGAGAGCTGTTTGGAGTCGCACCCCCCCACACTTCCCAAGCTACCATCCTGAGCTTGCACTAGAAGAATAAGACCACAGTACCCACAAGGATGCCTTTGCTCCGACACAACAGCCGGTACGAGGATATTCACTACTCATTGCACTCGTTCGTGCAGTCGTTCGATTGTACAAAGAGAGGTCAGTGTGTGTACATAGCTGTTGAGGGTGCTAGAATGCCTCTCGTGAGTAGTAACCCCCATTCACGCACCAAAAGGCGGTGCCATGAACAGGAGCTGTTGGCGCTTGATGATTTCACACATTAGACCTTCACCGATATAGACGAACGACTCGTTTCACAGCAGCAGCATTACTCACGCCCACTGTGCTGACCATCGGATCAACCGATCGATATAATCGAACCCGCCAGACGATGTGTCCTGCCCCAAGAACAAAGCTGATACAGGGGAGGTTCTATCAAGCGGAAGACAACCTACTTGCTGACTTGACTCCGCATTTATTCATGAATGCCGCCGGTCGTTTACCTCTGTCAGCTGTGGTAGTTTTTACTCTACAAATTTGCGCCGCGTTTTTTTATTTTTTCACATCGTCAAATTGCCTCCATATCAATAGAAGTCCCCCGTGGGGGTCGGCTCTGCTGTGCGTTAAGCGTGCACGAGACCACTGTACTTACACCTCACCCTCTCCTCGTTGTCTACTCCGCCAGAGCATCCAAGTCAACATTGCATAGGAAGATTCACAGCAACAACAAAAGGTTAGGCCGTGAAGGCCGCTCATGGATGACGGGATGCACACCTTTTTTTGTTTGAATTGAGCCTTCGATGCCGCGGTGCATCACCATGCTCGTGCGTTGTTGCCATCAGAAACCAGACTGCCACCCAACCAACCGAACGTAAACGTCGATTCGGTGCCGCTCATCGATGCAATTCTGAGGCCGGTTCATAGTTTATCCTCTCCGCCGTCTCTTGGATGTGTTCCTGCTGTACTTGGTAGTGACTTCGATCTCATTCAGCGATCCCCATGCTTGCACACCTCCCGTATACGCTTGCAATGGCAGAAGGGACATCCATGGCCATCTTCAGCAATCCCCGCACTACGCTCAGGGAGCCCAAGAGGAAGAGGGACACCGGCCTTGACATCTTCGGACTGGGCTCCGAAGATGATGTAAGACCATCAGCGTGGTGTGATAGACACACATGCTTTCCTTGAGATTTCAGGTCGTCCATTGTGAACGCGAGCGAGCCTAGTCACACACACCCAGTCACAAACACAATCACACGATGATACACCCTCTCCCCACCCATGCATCCGTCCGTGATCCCACAGGACTTTTGATTTCCCCCAAGGGTGACGCGAAAAGTGGCAAATACAACATGTCACCCATTTGTCGAACTCTACTTCCCCGGTGTCTCGCTCCAGTAGAATCGATTAGAGGTTGCCGAAGTAGACTAGTTCCCACCGTCAAAAGCGTTCTTGTTTTGAGGCGCGCCCTTTCTTGGTCGACCACCACGGGATGAGATCATAAACGCACCCGTGGGATCTACATCGCGGAATCCAAACCTTCTCCTCTCCTTAGCAGGTCGACTTGACTGTCACGCCAAGCGTCGGCGATGAGGACAGCGAGACAGGCTCCGGGAAGCTGTTTTTGCCATTTTTTGCCGAACGCGGTGATGGGGGCATATCTCACAACTCTGTGCCCGAAGGTCGCTATGTTAACTGTCTGAAAAAGAGGCTCTGTGAGTCGATACCAGATTCGACCTGGAGGCTCACAAGAGAGATCGGGATGCCGAAGTCGACGTCGATCCTCCTGCCAGCTGACGCCCAGCAGACAATTACTCGCCAGGTATCGTCGGCCGCTGATACAACCAGCTAGCTGTCCAAGGCCACCACCCTCTACATCTACAAACGCTGTGCGCCAAGCCTCGGCGTCACGGGGGTGGACCATGCCTCTCTGCAGCACCGTCCTCGCCCAAGTTTGGAAATTGTACAGGTTGGGATCTCCTCCGAGGGGGTACGAGTTGAACCACATGTGTCCCGGCCCTGGCGAGGAAGGGAAGGAGATACGGACCCTTTACCCCGTGCCGAAGACGGCCTGGCGCCTATAGATGACCCCTCTAGGCCCCATGTACCGCCACCCGATGCTCCTGCCTGCGAGGTGTGCGGCCTGGCCTACCTGCTCCACGTAGCACCACCGGTAGCTGGTGGCATGTGGTGATGATGCAGCTGCTGTGGTTGCCCGTGCCATTGTTCTCTTTGAAATGAGCCAACATAATTTTTCTCTGTTTTTACCCGAAAGCGTCAACCACGGTGGCGGCACCGTTGACTGATGACAGTATATCTGTCAGGTGATGACTGATTGTCTGTGTGCCTGTATGGTGAAACGCAACTACAATAAATGTAGAAAACAGCTCTTATTCTCCTGTGAGGGAAGGACGTAGTTGTGAGTGTGTGTCGGTGTTTCCTGTGGCGAATGTTCCCCGTCGAGATTTGTCCCTGCTGTGTGTCTCTCTTATATTTTCAAAGACCGCCCGTCGTCGTGTCGGTGCGACAAAAAAAAACACAACAAGAGGGGCGGGGATGCTGGGTTCAACAACAACCAGCGTAGGGTGGATCGGTGTAGCCAGGAGTAAAGGCGTTCGTCCAGGGAACGAATGATTGTAGTACGTGGGTCGGCGGTTCCCGCGAATGATTGATGCCATCAATCAGTCAATCACGGCGAATTTGAATTTTTCGAGTTTCCCCGAGAAGTGACGTCATGACCGTGGATGTCCTCAACGGTCGACCATGGATTTTTCGACCATAGGGGATTTTCTTTCACAGATCGAGATGGATTCGTTGTGTCTTAATAAGAAAAAATAAAAAACTGACAAGCTTGAAAACTGAAAGCTTTTTTGAAAGGAAATTTCTGATTGCCTGGTCGACATGTGATGTCATCCACGGCGGGTTCACTCCTTTGGGGTAATAAGTAAACATGATCGTCATATATTGTCAGCGCTTGTATCCTGGAGCTTCGATATCTGCACGGAACAAGTCGCGCTCATTCAAGCCCACGTTGGCGACGCTCGTCACAGTAGTAGCCGCACCTCCGCCATAGCTATCGACAACGGGGTACGTTCTCTCTAAGGCGGGAGATATATATGCAAATTCGCCCCCCACCAAAGGTGTAGTCGTTGGTTTGAAAACGTGAGTTCGTCGATCGCGACTCCACAGGCTTGCACCGAATCAAACTAAGCAACACATCTTGTGTGCGTACGTCCAATCGCGTCCATTGCCCTACTCACCAGTCTGCCTGGTCCCCCTCTCCTATGCATAACACCACGGCGTCGACTATCAGGCACCGCTGTGTCCAGCAACATTTTTCGAAGCATCACGAGCAAGTTTACGAGGTACCCACACAAACAACAGAATCACCTCAGCAATACTACACATCAGACACTAGATGCCTGCCCACCAGGCTGCCGTCATGCTCCCGGACGCCGTCGTCATACAATACTTTTCATACAACTCAAAAGCTGCGTAGCACCTATCGCCATCATTGCCAGGCTTTCGCCACGTTTGGTGCTACGTACGCTGCACAAGTAAATTTTCGGAGCACGGTGATATTTTGTGCACAAATGCATGGTACCGGAACTTGCCAACCTATACACGCGCATGACTCGTACGACCATTGCTCCGAACAGAGCGTGCGCTTGGCTTGCGAACTACCCTCCGCTCGAGCGATCCTCGCAACGACTTCGCCGCCTCTAGGCCCTGTTCTACATTTACCCGCCGAACCACCTCCAACGCAATAGCACGGCCCCCCTCAATGACTTCCCGGGGGATGCAAGAAACGAACGCCTGCCGAAGCACCTCCCGGCGGCAACAGCGAAGAAACAATAAACGTACAGAGGCAGCAGGAAAAGCTGCCGATGATGGTGCGCGTTGGCCATGACGCCACCACCGCCATCATCATCGGCTGGCCCGCCTCCTCATGAGCGCCAGGTACCGAGCGTGCAGCATGTCCACGAAGCGGTCGTCTTCCATGAGTGACATGAGGGTTACCTGGAGCGCTCGTTTGTCCAACAGGCCGGCGGGTTGCCCATCGCCACCGCGGCTGGCCCCGCCCTCGCCGCTTCCCGCCACCGCTGTCTCCTGGCTTGCCTGGTTTCCGCCGCCGCCGCCGCCGCCGCCGCCGCCTCCGTCGCTTCTCTCGGTGACAGAAGGCCCGGTCGCCTTCGCGCCAGCACCCGCCGGCGCGTCGCTTGCTCGCCGCCTTCCGTCGCCAGCTGCAGTACCAGTAGGAGCAGCGGCGGCCAAGTTGCCGCTGTTCCGGCCTTGCACTTGACGGTCACCGCCACCACCACGCGGCTTGCCGCTCCGGTCGGCGCCTCTCGCCTCCGAGCTTTCGGCCGCTACCCCTGGCGCTGCGGAAGCGGAATCTCCGTTTTTTCTTGGTTTCACCGCCGCCGCCGCAGATGCTGCCTGGCCCGCTGCTGCCCTTGCACCGCCCGCAGCAGCAGCAGCAGTGCCGCTGTTGGTGATGCCATCGCCTCCCCGCTGGCTCGCAGCCGACGAAGAACGGCTGCCGCTGCTGTTGGTGGTGCTGCTGTTCTCCGCCGATAGCAGCAACTGCGATGGCGTGAGGAGCATGCTCGCCTCCCGCGCGGCGGCGGTAGCGGCGGCGGATAGAGGCGGGGCGCGCAAGCGCGAGCTTGTGGCGGCGGCGGTGGCGGCGGCGGCGGGAACGGTGGTGGTGGATCTGCCTGCAGCAGGATTGGTGTTGGCGGTGCTGCCTCTCGTGGGACGGACGCCGGCGGCGTGGACCGGTCGGGGGAGGCCGGCGTTGTCGGGGGGGGCGTCGCCGTTTTCGCCGGTAGCCTGTTGCCGTCGCTGCTTCTGCTGTTGCTGTTGCTCTTGCTGTTGCTGTTGCTGCTGTTGCTGCTGTTGCCGTAGCGCTGCTGTCGATGACATTGTCGACGGGGTCACACCCAATGCCGCAACCAGAATTTCCGTTGCAGCTGAAGTCTGACGCGGTAAGGAAGAGGGAAGACGACACCGCGTGCAGACAGTCAGCTCCGCTCGGCGAAAAGGTCTTGGCAATGGGACACTAAAAATAAAAGAAACGACCAAGTGACATATTGAACCCTTTTTCCTTCCTTAAAAAAAAATGTCTCAAAAGGTAGCCCCTCATTGTTGTACAGCCATCCCACAAGGTCGCTCAATAACGGCACTTCTCCTTGTTGGTCGCCAGCCGTCGCCAGCACCGACACCGACGTGAACGAAAACAGGGGGCGTCGAGGAGCAACGGCCCTACACCCGTCAAGTTTACTCGTAAACGTACCACCTTCGGCTGTCGGCATCAAAAGACTCGGCAAAAAAGGGTCCCAGAACTCACCGCATCCGCGCTCGTTCGGATCAAGGGGTCCGGAGCGATCGCCACCGGCGCGGCCGATGTTGACACCGACGCTGCCGCCGAAGAACCGGACATCCTGTCCACAACAACGCCTGCCCGGGAACTCCCTGCCTGCTGCGGGTGCGGCAGCCCAGGCGGGGGCGACACCGCCGCCGCCGCTGCTGCTGACGCAGGGGTCTGCGCAGCGTTGTGCCGGCGAACCTGGGGTTGTTGAGGAGGTTGTGGTGGTGGGGCTGGCTGCGGTTGTTGTGGTTGATGTCTGCTGCCGCCGTTGCCGTTGGTGTGCGTCCTCTGCTGCTGCTGCTGCTGCTGTGACCCTCGCTGCTGATCGGGGGCTTCGGACGCCGACTGCGACGACGAAGAGGACGAGGACGTCGGCGCCGGACCGTTGCCGCTGCTCCTCGCACCGTCGGCGTTTTGGACCTGCATGATGCTGAGCACGAGGCCAGGCGGGAGGGGCGAGGGGCGGGAGGGGAGCAAGGGAACCGTCAGCCTTATTGCCGCAATCGGAAAGAGACAAAGAGAGACACAAACGAGAATATCGCCAACCATACCCAGCAGCGGCGGGGTAGGGCCGGAGTACGGCCGAACTTACCCGGACAGTGGAATGAGGAAGGCACGCGCGCTCGTTTCAGCACGCGTGAGAACACACAATCCCACATGTCCGTTTTCGAATCATGAATGCCACGATTCCTCCACGAATGCATGACTGTCCCCATCCCCTCCCCAACCCACCGCCTTCCCACACGAGCTCGCACCGCTCGGCCCAGGCGTGAAGACGGCTTATGCTTCGCGTTGTGAAATCATACGGAAGTTGGACTTCAAAAAAGGCTAAGACTGAATGCGCCAAAGGGACTGAGCGCGAAAACAAAACCGATGAGAGAACTCTGTTAAATTGGCAATGTAGGTTTTGGTGGAAAACGTCGAAAATGGCAATGCTGTCGAGAGCGCGGATTCATTGAACGTGTACACGCCCGGAAAGAACGGGCACGAAACCCCCCCACCCCCCCCCATCTTAACTCAAACGCGAATGCGGCCAATGAACACACCACCCGCGATACGTTGGCAAAACCCAACCAAATATGTCATTTCATGTCTACTACTTCGTATTCTAGAGCTATTTATTCTGCAACCACTGTCCGTGCTTGAGACCCCCCCCCCATGTCATACGCAGCTGCCATCCGTACGCAAGGAAGTAAGCACAAGATGCCGAACACCCGTAGCAGGATGCAGCGCACCCTTCATGCGACTCGCCGAATACCTCACGGTGTTTCGCGCTTGGTGATGTGTGAGCGTGGTCCGGTGAGAACCCGGCGTGCTCCGTCCCGGCTTTGTAGGATGCGAGGTCAATGGTCTAACGACTACGGCATGCACGACTATGAGCACCACCACCACCCCCCATGCTCCGCCCTCTCGAGGACGCGAGGCCAACGGTCTAGCCGCTAAGGCATGCAAAACATGGTCACTCCCAAGGCGCACCCCCTCTCTCTCACCGCTCGAGCAGAGCTTGCATCTGGTCACGCTCGTCGGGGCTGTGGAACCAAACCCCGTGTAGGTGACCATTGGGGGACGGCTTGTCTCCGAAGTAGCACGGCGTCTTGCACGAGAACATCAGGTAGTCCTCCAGCCTGTGCACCTTGAAGGACTGCGTGATGCCCTGGGACATGTGGTCGAAGCCCAGCCGGTTCAAGACCATCATCTGGTGGGTGTCGCAGGGTGGTGCGGACATCGGGAGGGAGGGAGGGAGGGAGGGAGAGAGAGAGAGAGAGAGAGAGAGAGAGAGAGAGAGAGAGAAAGGGTCAGATTTGCTTTGTATATACCCTCAATTGGGAACATCATACTTTTCGAACCGTCGTGTGTGGGCGAAATAACGGCTGTGGGATGAAAAAACGACGAACGGAACATGTACTGGGCCATACGAGTGTGGGAGCAATAACGCCACCGGGAGTCAGGCCGATGGCCCCTTTGTGGTCCGAGAACCAATCGACGTGCCTCCTGCAAAACCAAGAGTTGAACATGCGAATATAAAAAATAAACAAGGGTTCCCGCGAAACATTATCCTGCACAGCTCGGTACACGCAGAAGGCCGATGGTGATCCAAGGCAATTGCGCGTGGTGTCATGATACTGTGCCGCAAGTGGCTAACATACTTGTATTAGAGTACATCTCATCAACTGAAACCCCACGTAGCATGGTCACTGTTGTGACAATGTCCACGGAGATTCAAACGTTTATTAGTTGGATGAGCAGCACTAAACACGGGCTGGCCGATAGACGAAAAGCTCTTCAAAGCAAACACAACAAATGAACAACAGAAGCTCTTTCTGCATGACAAAAAACTGCTTGCAGCAAAGGATAAACCGTTGCGCACGACGAGAGAGACGGCGACAGCACGACCGACGAACCACCCGAGTATACACCAGTCTGCATGACGCCTCCCCTAAACCTCACCATGAAGTGCGGATGACTTTTTCTCCGGACGACGAAAAGACTCCCCTCCATCCCCTTCCGCTCCTGGCAAAAACGCATGGTACACACACGAGTACAACCGCAACCAAAAAAAAAAACGTTACTACTGCTGTGCGGCGTGATGGCGCCCACCATGGCGAGTGGAAGAAGACACTAAATAGAGAGGGCTCGCAGACAGTCGGGGGGAGAGGGGCCGGCGTTCGTGCTCTGAAACAGTGTGGCATCGGTCCCACACAAGAAAAACTCGGAATGGATGACGGAGGCTTCGGACAGCGCTATTAGCGTATCAAGGCACGGCTCAAACTCTCGCAACCGGGAAGAGCCTTCATTTCATGTGTGTCCGGCAACGGTGGGAAGGGCGGAGGGTGGGTTAGCGAGGCCGATGCCCAGCGAAACAAACAGGTCCCCATTCCCCCCCGCCCCACTCTCAACTCCTACTGGAGAATACGCCAGGCTAGCTGAAAGGCCCGCACGGACACAAACAAGGTCGAAGAAAACGCGGTTTAACCGCACAACGCCCGGTTCGCTTCGTGGTGTATGCGCCCCGTCTACGCACGCGCGGTCGCTTCCGAAAACCATCGCTCCCAAGTAGTAACTCGGAAGAGAACCCCGCCCTCGCCCCCGTCGACAACGGGCCATCGACGCACACCGGCGACCAGTTTTACCGCCGGCAACACAGAAAAAAGCACCCCTAAAGAAGACAAAGAAGGCACCTGCCCCTCCAAGGCCAAACACAACGACCCCCCCCCCCCCCCCCTCCCCCCGCGGCCTCTCACCCAAGCCTTGGTGCTGACATCCAAGGCGTAGACCGTGACGTGGCTGCTGTGTCCGATCACCTCAGTCACATGTTCGTCCTTTCTCTGGATTGGGAGCGCGGTGGCGTGGCGTCAATGGGTGGGGGTTGATGGCATAGGTATGGGTTTCGAGGAGACGATGGCGGCGGTTCGTAGGCATGGTGTGCGGAAAGCCGACGAAAAAGTGGTTGGACTTCATCACGTCAAGACGTCGACCAAAACACGCGGCCATGTATGCATAGGCTACACGGAACGAAGGAAAAAATCGCCGCTGGAGAGAGAGTGGGCATGGCGTATGTTCGTTTGGGTCAAAGAGCTCCAAAGGCCAAAAGGGAGGGTGGCAAGCAAACGTGCGAGCGGCCGCAAAGCGCGTGCCCAATTTCCAGATAAAACAAGAGTTGAATGAAACTTCTTCACGAGCAAAAACATGTGGTACCGCTTGCCTACCTTCGCGCGAGCGTCTCGCGCTTCTGACAACTGCGAGAAACGTTGAGGTCGAAGCAAAGAATAACGGCTGCCAGGAGAGCCCCGACCCCAGAATTGGAGGAAATTGCATCTTTCAGGAACGGGGGGGGAGAAAGTGGGGGTGCGTCCAAACATAATCCGCGGGCCCCCGACAACTCCGCGCAAACCGGACACACGAGTGTGGGACTAAGCTTGCAAATCTTGCGTCGCAGGACAAGAGGCCTGGAAACGTTCATGCCCCCCGCACAAACACCGCACTCTTGAACCTGCTCGAAATCGCAGCCCCTCGCTCGTGCATCCATCACAACTGCTTCCGTTCGTGTCCATTCTTTGAAACCACAAACGGCTGGCACGGCGGGCACACCGACGATCACCGACCTCAACCTCTTGTACAGCATTAATCTACTACTCTCACCTACTCCTCTCCTCGTTCTGCGGCCCTCTAGGAGAGCGGGGGTCACGCGGAAGTACCCCTCCCCCCCCCCCCTACCTTTCCTTTGCAGCGCTTTGTGACATCAACATTGGATGTGCTTCATGAATTGGGTCACAATGTATCGCTACTGACGCCAGTACTCTACTGCACGCTGCACTAGTCCATTTGCCGCTTCGAACGACGCGTACAAAGCGACATGAGACCATAGATGTGCTTCTGTTGTATTCATGCATATGATTGGATATCAACATAGTGGTGTCGGTGACGACCTATACAACAGGGGTGAGTTGGTTTCCCCACTTTGGATGCCTCGAACAAGAGGACGTGTGCCCCCTGGTTTCATTGCAATGGACAATGCACGTTCTCATGTTGAACGTAACCCCCGCTACCGTTTGGGGTGCAACACACACATGTTGTATGTACCCATTCTTCCATTTTTGTCGTAGCAAGACTAGTGCCGGCTTCTTTTTAATTCGGAAATACACCAAGAAATACTAGTAATACCCGTTCGACACAGTGCCCCAATCGAAAGGACAGTGTTCAAGTCTTCACAGCGTTCCCTGGCCAGCAGCCCGATGTTACGTGTGTACCGCAGCGCCGGTTCTCGACGGCGACAAGATCGACAAATGCACACTCCGGGGGTCAGTTGCCGCAGCATCTAAGACTACGAAGCGGTGGAACGTCTTGTACTCTGAATGCACTCGGGGATTCTGAGCCTTGTCGGCCAATGTCCACTCCTGCCCTACCTTCTGCAGGGGGGAGGTGTACAAGTACGACTAGAAAAGAACACGTGGTGCGGTAATATCTCTCTCACTTGGTGAAATAACTTGTTTTGATTGGATGTTTAGAAGCCGAAATCAAACCATTAGACTGGGTAGTCAGCGCTGACTAGTCCATTGGTGTATGTATCCATTGGACCAGAAGAGCGTCAAATGAGAACATGGCGGCTTCCGAAGTATCCCCATCCGAAAGTGGCTCTTTCTCCAAAGTGTGCCGACAATGATTACGGCCTCTCACGGTCGTCAGCCGATGGCGCTGTCGATGCCAACCGCAAAAAAAAAAAATCTCGTCGCGTTATCTGTCCTGCTGTAAAAAGGCCGGCTAAACTGTCAATAATAAAAGTCAGCCGGTTGGCGCGGTCGATGGGGTTGAAGAAACACGCACACACGCCCACGGATAATTTTTTCAAGCGTTGTCGTCACGTTCCAACAACGGACCTGCTGTGCATGTGCGACTCGCGAGGGAGCTGTTTCGATTGGTCGGCCGGTAGGATGCTATGAAACTCAACCACCACGCACGATTGCACGCGATCGAATGCAAAAGGAAATAACGCTTGGGGGGGGACCAGGCGTATACGGGGCCGAAATCATAAGCTATTTAGGGCCGGACCGTTTGTTGGGTATTTAGTGTACAACATGGCGGCAGCTTCCCATTTTTCAACATGGGGCTACCAAAAAAATTACAAGCAGTACTTGTACAACAGCAGTCGTATCCATCGTGCAGCAGCAGCTGCATGACTGAGTCTGCAAGTGGTTGGATATAAAATTTTCCCCACTACGCAGAGGTAGGCACAAAGCCTGCGAAACTCGGGACGGCCTTCACCACAACAGTTGTCTAGTGCGCAAAAGGTGAGAGGCTTTGCATCGTTCCCAAAAACCGCACCCGTGCCCGTTCAGTTGACAACCATTTGCAAGAGCGATGCGGTCGATCTGCAGCAAAAGTCTCGCCGCCGCTGAAGCCAAGACTACCAACACTGCTGTGGGTAAAAGCAGCAGCAGCGACCACACCAGCAGCAACGTAGTAGGGCGCAACACTTCAGCCGCAACCCCAAGTTGAACGCGGGTAGCAGCAGCAGTCGCGCACGGCAGTGTCCGGCTCTCAACGCCGCTGGTGGCTGCGTTATTATAGTATAGTAAGGTCGGGTCCTCACTCGAACAAAACTTCTTACACTTTTGGTCACTACCTCCTCTCCGTATTTTGTTCACCTGCAGCGTGGAGAGGTTGGCGGCCAGCGAATTCGACAAGTCGATCTGACCGATCAGCGACTGCGGCGCAGCCATATTTGCGCCTTTCTCTTCTCACTCTGCTCTCCGTCCGCGGCGGCCCCTGCTGTTGTTTCTTTGTCTTTTCTTGCGAGGGTCGCGGGTCCAACAACAACAAGGAGTCTGCTTCACAGAAGAAAATGTTGCATACCCTTCAAGAAAATATACCTCACGGTGCCCCCAAGGAGCGGTTTGAACCGTTGCCCTGGGTGGTGCACAGCAGCAGCGTGAGTGTGGTGTGTGGTGGACCGGAGAAGCTTCCCGGAGCGATGTCTAGCATGCCGACAGATTCGGAGCTGGAGGTTGCAGTGAGAGAGATTCTCCGCGTCGCGAACGTAGAACAGATGTCGCTCAAAATCATCCGGAAGAAGCTTGAAACCCATTTTTCGGTGAGTACACCCACTCGTCTACAGCAGTACAATACGGCACTGCTGTTGCAGCAGCAGTCGATACCGACTCTCGATGGTCGTGTGCGTAGCATGTCGGCTTGTTGCTGCTGTTTGCTCACGGACTCCATCAAAGATATGTCGTTGTAGTGTTTTTGTTCGCCAGGCGTTTCTGGCAATATTGCAAATTTGTCCCCCGGACTCGTTCGATACTGCTTGTAGCACAACAAGTTCTACATACAGTTGTAAGCCTTTTTGTATAGAATCAATCTTGGAGTACATTTTGATGCCGTGCAGACGGGAACATGATACCTCTCGCAAAGGCAAAACGAGGTTGTTGTTGTTGTCGTCGAATGGCAGCTGAGGCAAAGCCCTTGAATTTCTCGGAAAGCTTGTTCGCGGTCGTGTCGCGAAACTACAGCAGTGGCGGCCAAAAGTGACGGCAGTTTTCTGGGCGTGAAACTCTCCGAAACCTGAAAGTCCGTGCGCCAGTGATCGTCGCTGGCTAAAGGCCACGCATTTTACTCCTGGTCAACGAACATCCAAGTGCGAATTGGATAAAACGTTCTTTACTATTGGGTTGCGTCATGAGCCGGAGGCATACGATTGTTGTCACGAGGAGGAACGGTTGCTCGACCTGTGTGCCCTTGTGACGGAGTACATTGTCAGTGACAGGTTTTAAGATTCCCAAATGAAGCATACACCCGACACCATGACTTGGGCCAATTACGACCGCAGTTTTGTTTGACGCAAAATTGTCGAAAGCCACCCAGATCCCATATCCCATCCAGTGTCGAATATGGTGAAACGGCATTGGCTAGACTGCCCTGAAAGCAGCTAGTCATCTACTGGGAAAGATCGATGATCTTGTTTCTAGTGGCTTTTATCACCCAGCGTGCATCTGGTGCCATCAAACTGTCACTCCAGTTTGATGGTACCCCAGATGCACGCTGGGTACTAGAATCAAGATCACCAATCAATTTCCCAGTGATGGCTAGCTGCTTTCCGGGTAGTTTAGCCAATGCCGTTTCACCATATGCGACACTGGATGAGATGTGGGTCGGTACTGCTGAAGAACTTCGCAAACGTGGTGCCGTTCGCTACTTTTTTGTGTTCGTTGAGCTGCGAGAAAGCAGCTCAGCGGTCCTGTTCGCCGAACTGCCCCGCCATGAGTCGTAGGAGGAGCTTGGACGCTTCTCCTCCGCTCATCCCCTGTTTGAGCTGGGTTTCTTCCTGTGTGAAGAATCCGTTAATGACAGAGTAGAGATCAGCGCACGGAGGGAAGTTTGAGGAAATGACGTTGGTGAGTTGCTAGCCCGGTACCCAAGTGTCGGAATTGTCGAAATTGACGAGCGGATCTGCCTGCAGCAGGATGTCGTACATAGCTCGTTTGGTGGACTCCAAGAGTTGCCCCTGCGCGTTGATGCCAATAGTTGCCCTAACGCGTTGGTGCCAGCGCGGCCTGTAAGCTGGAGGAAGCTGGGGCCTAGTCTTTCAGGCGTGCTTGAGGTCGAATGGCGTACCTAGCAGCGATGGATCGGACTCTCGCTCGCTCTACTTGGGCGGTTTTTGTTCGTCGATGGCATGTCGTCGTTGTCCAGATCTTGTCGACGAGGTAGGCAAGCCGTCGCGGTGCAATAGGGCGGGCGCTATTGGATTGTGCTACGGCTGCTAGAGGAGGAATTACTTGCCCTCCGTTGTCGTTGTCGCCGTCTTCATTGTCGGGAGTATGCATCACAGTCGAACTGTTCGCCGTGTGTGTAGCCCTTGCGAGGGACGAGCACCCTCGGGGGGGGGGGGCGTGCTCATTTGTTGCTTGCCATAGTCATTTGACCATTGACCACGCGTCCCTTTCGAGACGGAGCACCGTTCCTACACCTACTAGAGACACCACCAACATTTGGGAGCTCTTTACGTTTCTGCCACAAACTCCATAAAAATTTCTTGCACATCTTATCCCCGTCCTCTAGGGCCTCTTGTGCCCACCATCTATCCCCAATTATCGCGATCGTTTTTTCGCTTTTGTCTAATTTACCAAACTTGTCCATGTCACACCCTCTCTGTCTCATTTCCTCCTCGAGATCCTCTCTTTCCTTCCTGTACAACTCACACTCCCCAACTATGTGGGGTCTACTCTCCTCAGATTTGCCACATGGACATGTGTGTCTATCCTCCTCTTCCTCTCTCCTACGGCTGGTATACCTCTTCGGGGGAGGGGGGGGGGACTCATAGTCGTGCATGCTGTAGTCGTTTGACCAATGGCCTCGCATCCCTACAAAGCCGGGACGGAGCACGCCGGGTTCTCACCGTACCAGGCTCTCACATCACCAAGCGCGAAGCCCCGTGAGGTATTCGGCGAATCGTATGAAGGGTGCGCCTCATCCTGCTAAGGGTGTTCGGCATCTTGTTCTTACTTCCTTTCCTTGTACGGATGACAGCTGCGTATGATTAATTTATTTTCTGGTGCTTTCACTTCCAGAGACAGTTATGAGCACTGTGTAACTGCCTCGAGGGTGCTTTTATCACAACGTGGTGTGATCGTCCCCTTCGAGCGGAGTGAGGGTTCTCGACCCCGCACAACATGATCTACTCGACCACCATTCATGGTTACCGCAGAAAAACAAAACAGAGGCCAAAAAACAAAAGCGGTAGCCTGCTAGCGGAGTGATCGGCGTGTTGTTTTACAACGTCGTTGCCAGCGACGAAAACCCAACCCCGATGGCAAACACCGACGGGGGCACTTCTTTAGCAGGTTGAGAACGAGGATTCTGAGGCTCGTTGTGCCGTCGCGTCTCCTCCGGTGGCGCGTGGTGTCCGTGGTCGTGGTTGCTGTGCGTCCACTCTTATCTTCCTGATGCCGACCGGAGCGTTTGTGGTTCCCGTGTTTCCCGTGGTGGGATTTGCCGGGAGAGTGGAGAGGATCGGTGGCCCGACGCGTGGTTCCGTTTGGAGCCGCGGCCCTCGCTGGTGTCTAAACTGTCCGAAGCCCAGTTGCGCCCCATGATGGTTGCCGCGTGATCCGCGCCCACCGCGTGTCGTGGGTGTGCCACCTGGGCTGGAGGAGTGGCGGCCCGATGTGCCCTTGTTCGTGGGGAGATTGCCCTGGAAGGACTGTGGGGCTGGCTTGTGTGAACAGTCGATTGTGGTGGACGTGCGGTTTTGGTGAACCGGCTGCCGCGGTGTCGACGAAGGCTGGCAGGGCGTTCGCGACGGAAGCGGTAGTAGCTGGGGTGGAGATGCCATGCTAGTTGTTGGAGTCAACGTATATAGGACCAGACGTTGGCGAAGTCAGTGTCGTCTCCCCATGTCAGTAGGCAAAGCAGTCGATCAGTGCGCGCGCGGCGTTTATAACGCGATCCCGATTGGGGTTGCTGAAGGCGCTCTGGTATGTGTTGGCGATGGCGGCGAGTGGCATGCAGTGGTACC